GAAAGTCAATTTAATGTACTAAAGGGCAAGTTGATAATACGTATCAAAAGCCTGAAAAACCTGCAAGCCTTTTGACTCAGTAATCCCATTTCTAGTGTTAATCCTAATAATAATGAATGTTCATTAAATCTGGCTATCAGGATGCTCACGGTAGCATGTTTGTAAAACAAACATGCATGGATAGTATGATCCCATTTTTGTGTGTGTGTGTGTGTGTGTGTGTATACATAAGGATCAATAGACTCCTAGGTAATCCACCAAAATATTAATAACAGTGATTATCTCTAGTTGGTTCATTTTCCATGCAATTTTCTTTTCCTTTCGCTTTTCTATTTCCTAAAACTTCTACATGAATCCATATTACTTTTGCAATCAGGAAAAGGTTACTGAATGGGAATACAAAATGTGCAGTGAATTAAGATCTTGAGAACATGAACACAGACTCCGGCCAAAGACAAGAAATCCCTTTGGCTTGTTTACAGAGCAAAAAATCCAATACACAGATGTGCTTGTTGGCTTCCTGGACACTCCCTGAATCCACGTGGCTCTGTGCCGCCAGCCCATGTGAGACCTAGAAAAGTACGTAGTTATGGGCACCCACAAAGATGAACAGCATGAGGCAGACTTGGGAATCTCCCCAAAATACAGAGAAATCTTCTTATTCCTTTTATTCCAACAGTCCAGAAATTAAACCTGTCCTGACAGTCTTAATAAATCTGAAAGTGATTTAAACATTTTTACAAAGAAAGAGTGCTTTGAGAAGATTTAAATAATGTAACATCTTGCCTTTGAAAGGTCTGCAAAACTTTTTATTAGGCAATAACTCGGCTTCAATTTTCAGTAATCGTACGATGTATTTTCTGAACGCTTTATTAACTGTGCTACGTAATATCTGATCCTACAAGTAACATTCACTACAAATAAATACTTTTTGGTCTTTATAGTCTTTCTAACCTCTTCCCTGGATATTACCTTTCCAGGAGAAACTGAATTCTTCTAAAATTAGCTTTCGCTAACAATCTTTAAAAGGGCAAAACAAGAAACAAATACATTGTATGTCCACTGTTAATTGAAAAATAAAAGAAAATACGTTCAGTTAAAAGTAAACAAGTAAGTAGAAAGCAGAGGGCACACCAGTGTAAGGAGACACTAGTGGAGAAAGCTTGGTAAGCAGGCTTACTTACAATGGACGAAGACCTAAGAAATGCACCCTGAACATGTCTCATCGGGCTGCTACCTGTGTGTCGCATGTTAAATACATAGCTTAGTGCTTCACATCTTCCTCCTCCCTATATTATAGTCTCCCCAACAAAGCAAAATAAAACGAAGATGCTTCTTGACATCTTTCCTGTTGCGTCACCACGGCACTGACCGTAGCATTATCATTTCATTGGTCCCTACAAGTGAGAGGCCTCCAAGTTCAGGTTCTTAGTAGCTCCTGCCTGGGTTATTTTAATAGACTCCTGATTTGTCCCCCCATTTCTGATCTACCCCCATTTGAATCCAAAGAGCATCCACCCACTGGTCAGCTTATGTGCCGCTATAATCCCATTGTGATTTTCGGGGAGAATCTTAGATTAACTCTTATCTCTGAGCGGTGGAAAGCACAGGGCACCTTGACATCCAGAGTCTTGGTCTCCTGCTGCGATTCAGTGTGAACTCTCCCGGCTGATCTCATCAACTTCTGTGGAGGACTAGCTCAGGCTGTCCACTGCCTTCTGTCAATGCAAATGCATCCTCCCAGCATGCTGGAGAGCTGGTAAGGTTTTCAGTAACCATTACAGCTGTGAGTAAACTCTACCTTCGCAATGTCAACAACTCTCACCAACGGTCTGATTCAGTGGTCTGGCACTAATCATACTGTGTCCTTCTATCAACAATTATACGTCTATGGTCTAAGTTAATTGAATAAATGTGATTCCCTCGTGGGCCTTTAGTTTTTGTTGTACTTCTCATAGCCACTGACAGCTCGAAACCTGGTAAATCCTTGATATCTGATGAATAATGAATGAGCAGCACCATCAGCTTTTTCACAAGTATAGTTACAATGTCCTGTGCACCTCTAAGGCTTTTCTCTAACACAATAAGTGATTATTTTTCATAGGCTCATGCATCTGGGGGCTGAAGACCACCCCGGGGCTCACAGGACTCAGCATATAGTCACGCTCATGTCTGAGATTTACTACAGCAGAAGGAATCAAAGCAGATCAGCCCAGGGAATAAAAGGTACAGGGGACAAAAGTCCTGAGAAACCAAGGGAAAGCTTCTAAGAGTCCTCTCCCAGGAAACACAACTTCTCCAGCATCCAAATGCAACAGCACAGGCTGTATCCCAAAGGAGCTTGTTAGAGACATGCTGCCTACGGCTTTTTTTTTAGGCTGGCCACATAGGCACCCTCTGCCTGGCACAGACCTCCAGGCTCCCAGATAGTATCTGGCATAAATCACACAGTAGTCTGGGCGCAGCCAGCGTAGGGGCCTGCTGGTCATTCGGGCTCCCAGGCGCCAGCAGCTCGAAGCAGGCCTTTCTAAGGAAAGTAATCTTGCACATGCTGTGTAGTTCACCTCATGTTTTCCTGGGAGAGATGTTCAAGTGTGAACTGTATCGAGTTGATAAGAGGCATGGAAAGGGATCTTTAAAACAATTAAAATCTAGCATTTCTTTAGAGACGCACTGCCTGGACTGGCACCTAAGATTTAAAGTTATACAGATTTTAAATAACTCACATCCTTTGGGTATTTCGGGTTTTCTTTTTCCCTGGTAAATGGGGTGTAATATTCAACCCCAAACTTTCCTCGTTGTCAGGATAAAGGAAGTCAAGTGTAACATCTAACAAGCCCTCTTGGACAAGCTCCTGGTATTCTCCCTAAAAGTGAATTGGGTGCCAATTAGCTGTGGGGGCTGGTTCAGGTGCAGGGTCTTACTAAGTCCTCATAATAACCCCTCCTGCCAGTGATGGTTTCTACGTTATAGATGGAGGCTTTGGGAGGGTACATACCCCACCCAGGTTTCCTACGGCAGAGCTGGGTTTTAGGCAAAGAGCGGCCTAATTTCAAACCCTACCTCCACCTAACGAGGCACAGCCTCCTTATTATGGCTCCTTTACTGCCAAACGACCTGGGTGGGCTGGTTAGTTAGTTTGTACAGAACACTATTCTGAACCTTACTGATTCTGATTACAGCCACATTTTAGTTGGAAGACAAAGGGGTAAATTTAACCCAGATGTGCACCTTTTTCCTTTCCGACGTGTGCAGATTCCCAATCACACTATAGCCCTGGCTTGTTAAAACCACTGGGAACCTCCCATTCATCATAGGACACAGTTTTCTCTATTACCAGGCACTGAATCTGTTTGACATTACACAGACCTGTCTCAGAATCTTGGTGTTTGACTTAGCATATGTGGGGACCTTGGGGAAGTTTAGTAATGCTTTCTGAGTCTCAGTTTACTCATCTGCAAAATGGGAATCCCTAGGTCCTGGACTTGCTGTGAGAATAATATAAGGTGACATATTCAATGGACCCAGACTACACATAGTTGCTGAGTAAATGATTGCCTGCACCTGAATAACTGATTTGAGAGGAGCCAGCCATCTCAATAACCTGTGGGAGAAAGGAGATGGTAGGGAAGTACCCTGACCACCAGGTGTCACCACTGGTTCAGGAGACGGTGTCTAACGGCCAAAAGTGTGGCGTGTGACTCTGCAGCAAAACAGGGTAAGGTGCAGGGTAGGACGGTCACTTGCACCTACAGGTCATTATAGAATGGAAGTGGCTTTTCAATGCCTAACAGCTTTATTTGTTGCACCATTCTAAGCTCCACTGTTCTCTTACCTGTGTTAATTGTGACCACAGTATAATTAGCTGAATAGTCACAGAAGAAAAACGACCCTCAGCTGACCACGTTTCAATTCTAAAAATCAACAGTGCTTCATATCTGTCTGGCTTTGGCCAACGAGGTATTACAACTTCAGGTTTCCATAGGTTTCAGTATAGTCGCCATGGGCAATTTTCTGGCCCCAGTTCCGCAACCTATTGATGGACATTATGTCCTTTACATTATTAATAGGAATGACAAATAAAAGGGAAGTAGAATTCTTAGGGTAAAAGTAAACTCCATGAACAGTAAATTTAGGCAAAGGAAGCATCACATATTGATCCTTTTCCTTGATCTCAGGAACTGAAAAGCCCGTTTAAAAAAATGCTGTAAATTTTCTATTTTCTTAAGGAACGCTTAGCTTAGGGTAAATCTGTCAACCTAGGAAAAGCCCTGAAAGGACTCAAGAATGACTCCTGATTTTATTCTGCAACCTGCCAACGACCCCTCCCTGACTGCCCAGGGGTTCATTTCAAATTTGTGGGGGAAGGGGGCAGGGTCTTGGCTCTCGTTCTGGGTCTAGGTCCTCTGCACTGAGAACCACTGCTGGCCACACCAAGGTGGGTCACTCAGGCACTGCGAGCGCGGACCCGGGCACTCCGCTCCCCGAGGAGGCACTGACTGTTGTCCGGCCCGCCAGCGAACACCTGCCTCCATCCAGCCCGTCCAGGCCCAACCCTGGCTCCAGGTGGCCGGCAACCGACAGGGAGGAGGAGTCAGGCTCCGCACCGGCTTCTGCTCCGAGCTCGTGCTCGGAACTCCAGCACTTAGGGTTATTTCTGTGAGTTTTAACAACAGCTCAAGTTCCACTCTGCATTTCACAAATATGGAAATGTCTTAAGAGAAACCAGAAGCATCCTCTCCCTTCTGGCCGTTGCTCCCTAGCCTAGAAAATTTAGGGGGGGAAGAGCAGATCCCAGGAAGCACCTGGAATCAGGAGGGCAGAAGCCCAGATGAGCGTATTTGCGAAGAAGCACTTTGTGCAGATCAATACATTGCTGACCGATTTCAGGATGGTCCCGAGAGAGGCGCCCACGAGGCCGGCCGTCCTGCCAGATCGCAGGGGCGGCGGAAGGACGTGCCGGCCCCCACCCCGGCCCCGCGGGCGCGCCCGCGCCTTACCTGGGGGACTCGGCCGTGAAGCTGCCGCCGTCCAGCAGCCGCATCTTGCAGAAGAGGACCCCGTTGACGAAGGGCACCGAGGAGAGCTCCTCGAGCTGGAAGTCCACCCTAAACTTAAACTTCTTTTTCTTCATCATCATGAGAGCCAGGCGCCGGCGAGCGGGGTGCGGGGGCGGGCCCCAGGGGCGCGCGGGCCGCCACCGCCTCAGCTCGGCCGAGCCCCGGGCCCGCCCAGCCCCATGGCCGGGGCCGCGAGCTGCGCGCGGGGGCGCGGCCAGGGGGCGCCGCGAGCCGGCCGGGGCCGGGGCCGCCGCCCCTCGCCGCGGTCCGGGCCGGAGCGCGGCGGCGGCCGCGGCGCGGGAGCGCTCGTGCTGCAGCTCGCCTGGGCGGTGGGCGCCGTTTCGGGGCGCAGCTCCCCGCCGCCGCCCGTCTGAGAGCCGGAGAGGCGCCGCTCTGAGAACCGCTGCTGCCGCCGCCGCCTCCTCCTCGGGCCCCGGGCGCCCCCAGCGGCGGCGGCCAGCGGCGCACCGCCGGGCGGAAGCGGGAGGGCGGGCGCTCCGCGGAGAAACCGGCCGCGAGGGCAGTTAGGGCGTCACGTTCTCCGGGGTTCAAAAAACGCCAGCCCGACCCAGAAGGAGCGCCCTTCTCCCGCTCGCTCGCCGCTTTCCCTCCCGGGTTGCTCCGCCCTGCGCCTCCCCAGGCCCCTCCAGCGGAGTGATTTCCCCCCTGGGACTGAGAGTCTGGGTGAATATTATTCATCGGAATCTCCACGTTGTTTTCACCAAACTGAAATCCTAAAGCTAAAACTTCCCGTAGGCGCTCTAAATTCACGAGCCTTTAATATAGAATAAGGACCAGGTAGGAAAGAGCAAAAGCATCAGAATGTATTGGGGGCCTACCAGGTGCCCAGGCACCGGCTGGACGCTGCAGGAGTTCTCTCTCGTTTATACTCTTAATTCCTGTCACCCAGGATAAAAGTACGGAACAGGTTAAAACAATAGCTTCCCTTTTCAAATTTGGCTGTACAGACAGAGAACCGAAAAGCCTAAAAATAAAGAAAGCTCCCTAGACGCCTAGTGTTTACCTGCCATCTGTAGGCAGGTAGCAATTTGTCGTTTAGGTGCACGTTGCCTACTTGCTCACACAATGCTCGGGTCCCCTCGCAGTAATCTCTGAAAGGGTGTCATTGATGAGGTTCCCATTCCCAGGTACTCATTTATGCATGCAGTCATTCCTATAAAAATATTTCTTTAATAGAATCGAATGTCAGTCTCCGGCTAGACCCAGTGATAAACCAAGTAAAAACAAAAGCCTGCCCTCAGAAATGTTACAGTCTAGTGAGGGAGACATATGTAAATCAGTCATTAGAAAACAAAACCTAGCATCAAGGTGTGTTTCTTCAGAATGAAGAAGCAATCTGTCTGGAACTCAGAAGAGGAAGCGATTAATTGAAGTGAATCAGTGATCTGAATTTTAACCCAGGACCAGGATTGCGCACAAAGTGGGAGTGATGTTCCACGTGGAAGAAATGGAAGGCGCCCAAGCAGAGTTTAGGATTTGGGGGCGCGGGGGGGGCTTGGTAGTGGATAAACTGGGTTGCACAGCAGGAGGAGGGGGGAAATGGTGGAAAGAGTTAAGGGGACGCCTTGAGGTTTGTAACTTGGACAACTAGATGGATGTTAATTCCATTGAATGAGCTTTGGAAGCTGGAGAAGGGCAAGATGGGAATGGACGAGGTAATGAGGATTTGAACTATCTGAAAGACAATTCAAAGAAAGAAGGGCAGCCTTAGCTCAGGTGAAAGGTTAAGACTGAAATATATGTTTGGGAACTAAGAGTATTCCCTGTGGGTGGAAGCCCCAAAGGTGGATACAAATGAGTTACTCTGAAGAACATTTAAAGGGTAGATGGAGGAAGAAGAGTTTGTGAAAGTGCCTGAGAACAGTCAGAAAGACAGTCTTAAAGACATTAAGAAAGATGGCCTGGAAGCCAAGAAAGAGTTTTAATCATTTGATGTTCATGGTTACTAAGAACTACCATGTGCTAGACACTATGCAGGGAACCTGTGATACAAATGAAAAGACACAGGGATTTATAAATGAATGGAGGATAGTGTAAATGTGAGGGTAACCTAGCAAGCAGGGCGGGGGGGGGGGGGGGGAGAGAGTTAGTTACTTAGTTATTTTCATGGTCCCTGGAGAACAGAGCAACAAGTTTCCAGAAAGTGCAGCAGAGCAATTCTGGAGCACTCGGACGGTGAGGGGAAGCAGAGTTTGCCACCCCAAACTAGGTCGTTTGGGATATGTATTCTTATAAGCTATTTTTTTTAGGAAATAAAAAAAACTCAGAAAGAACCTTGGATCCTCCCCCTTACCTGCCTAAAGGAATTCAGGTAGAAAAAAACCTTTTAAAGGAAGGAGTCACCACCTTATCTTAAATAAACTAAGTGTGACTTCAGGGAGGAACCTAGCAACAGCTGTTTGTTGGACTCCCCTGGATGTCTCATTGTTTCCAGGTGGCCCGGCATGAATTTGTTTACTAAAGGTTTGCTCTTTCTCACCTACCCCGTCCCCCCGCCCGCTAGAGCCCTGCCTACCTCCAGAACACCATTATATATGCTGTGTCCACCTTGACTGCCCTGTATGTCCTCAGGGGCCCCTACTCTATGGACCTTCTGTCCATACACACACATACACACACACATATGTAATAAACTCGGTTATTTTTCTCCTGTTAATCTCTCATGTTACTTCTATTACTAGAGCAGCCAGAAGAACTTAGATGGGTAGAAGGAAAATGATATTTCTCTCCTACGATGGAAAAGAAGCCTGTTCGGTTGAAGATCTCGAAGGTCATGGATAATCTTGGCAGAAGTCTCCCTAAAAGGTGGTGGCAGAGTAAGATTAAAATGGTCTGGGAAGTGAATGGAGGAGGGTAGTCATGAGGAGTGGGTGACTAAAAATGATTCTTTCAGGTCTTTTTGTTGAGTGAAAAGAGAGAGGACAGTAGCTAAAGGAAGAGGAGGCCCAAGCCTTTCCAGTGCCGTCTGGGAACCACTCGGGATTGACGGAGAGCCTGTTAGGTGCCAGGCACCTTCCAGGTCCTGGAGATCTAAGACACAGCAGCCGTTCCATACCCCACAGTCTACGGGAGGGAGGGTACTGGAGTCTACCGGACACAAGCAAGCAGGCAGTTACAGCACAACGTGCCCCGAGTTCTGTCTGTGCGTGACGGTGAGCGGAGGCTGCTGCTGGAGCACATAACCACATCTAACTAGGAAAGTAGGTTTGTTGAGTGACATTTGGGCTGAGGTCTGAATGAGGGAGTGGGGGTGGGGGGCGGTTTCCGGGAAGAAGCTCCTGCCTGTGCAGAGGCTCAGAGGAAGACAGACCATGCTGCAGGAGGAACTGAAAGTGGCTTGATAAGGGCTGCAACATAGAGTGGGGTGCGGCCACGGGCTACTGAATCCAGATTTGCATTTTATCGGGATCTCCAGCTGCAGCAAAACTAGAGGTAGGGAAAGAGCCTGGTGCTCCTTTTTAGACTCATGTCTGATTGTGAGACACTTTGTACGAGTCAAGGTCCAGGCAAGAAGCAGACATCGTGCTCAAAGTGTTTAAATAAAAAAAAAGTTTAATGAAAGGACCCTTTACAGGACTCTCTTTTTAAAAAGAGTTTATTTATTTATTTTTTAGAGAGAGGAGAAGGGAGGGAGAAAGAGAGGGGGAGAAACATCAGTGTTGCCGCCACCAGGGATCTGGCCTGCAACCCAGGCATATGCCCTGACTGGGATCGAACTGGTGAACCTTTGGTTCATAACCCACACTCAATCCACTGAACTACACCACCCAGGACTTTTTACAGAACGCCTCATAGGGCAGGGCAAGGGACCCACAGTCTGGTAGTACCTCCTGTTATCCAAAACTAACCCAAGCCATAAGGCAATGGAACCTTGAAGGTGTAGTTCATAGAAGATGCCCGCCCCCCTGGGGCACACAGAAGGTCACAGAGGATGGAGGGTGGATGGCAGTGAGGGGACAGAGAGCTACCAGCACATGCCTGATGCAGGTAGGGTTCTCTGGAGGAACCCGAAACCACTAGATATTTAAAATAACAAAGGGATATCAGCCAGGCCATTCAGTGCTTCTGAAACCCTTGGAAGGGCCGAAGGAGCAGAAGTCAATGGACCTTGAATCATTGAGTTCGCCTCATTTGTGGCAAACATCACTAGTGTTCACTAATATCTGGTTCTCCTTTACTTCCTGGGCATATGGGAGGTCACATTTCTGGGCCCCCTGTAGTTAGGTGGGGCCAGTAACATGTGAGAAGCAGTGTGTCACTTCTAGGAGGAGGCAGTAGAAAGCCTTTGAGCAGTGCCCTAGACTTCCTCTTCCTGGCCACGAGAGTCATGGAGGAAACCTTGGGTTAACACATAGTGGCTGCGGGGCTGAAGCAGCCCAGATCACTGAGTCAGCACGTGGAGTACTGCCAACACCAGCAGTAAATTCCCTCCCCGCACCCCTGCTGCTCCAGTTGAGATATAACTGCCGTATAACATTGCATTAATCCAAGAAGTACAATGCAGTGACTTGATTTAGGTCCATACTGTGAAATGATGACCACGATCCCTTTAGCATCCATCATCTCCCTCACTTCTGGCATCCGTTGGCTGGAAGTTGATGTCAAGGGAAATGTTGGAACTTACATGTTGAAGACGACAGAGCCTGGGTCCCTGGGTGACTGCGTGGCCAGAGTCACTCCCTTGCTCCTCCACCCCTGACCAGGGACACTGACATTGAACTGTCGTGTGAGCAAGAAATAAACTTCTGCTGTGGCCTTTCAAGGTATGTTAGTCACACCAGTGAGCATTACTGTAATACAGAAATTGTCACAGAGGTAGGGTGCTTCTCTAAACATCTAAAGTGAGTCAGGCAGGCAGGAGACGGCAGGGACACTAATATTAGGAGCTGGAAAATGGGCGTTGATGGTGAGACATCGGTAAGAGTTGTCCGCAATCATCAGAAGGCACGTTAAGTGCCTACAAAGTCCATAGCTCTAGCAGAGGCTGGAAAATGGAACATGAGTGGGTTATGCGTACTGGCTGCATTTAGAAAGGTATTAGGAAAATGAGCTCATGCAATAATAAACAGGTGTGCAGCACAGATGAAAAGGAATACAGAGAGCACAGAAATTTGGAGCCCCAAGGGGTGGGGAAAACCGGCTGCTCTAACCTGCAAAGAATGGGAAATGAGATCGAAAAAGCTTTCGAGCAACTCGGGCTCATTAAAACTCAGCCATGCAGCAGAGATTAGATTTAGGGTGTGGCCTTCACGTTTAAGTTTGATGGCCCTTCAATCTAAGAAGTATAGGGGTAAAAAAGCCAGAAAGAAGTTAGCATCGAGAATTATCTCTGGGAAAGAACCTCATTTAGTGTTACTGGTGTATGAGACTGGATGCAAACAGATCACGAGTCTTTTG